TAAATGACAAGTGTGTCAATCAGGATCTGTAGCGAGATTGAAAACTGATATTGCATAAACAATCGTTAACTAGAAACACGAGTGCAACTCGTCTTCATTTTCAATTTGTAACCATAGTTATGAACGATTTTCTAAGTTGGAAGTTGCATTGCGGCAATTACGATTCTAACGCCCACCTCGAGGGAAAAGAACTGGACTGGTTGGAACGGACAGATCTCGATATTCGTCGGATATCCCTATTTATTGCTATTCGTGGGTGTTCCTTCCGCCCCTAGCCGTAACGTGTGGATTTCACCTCCTCCACGGGAAACTCTGGCTGAATATCGAAGGCGATAGTGGTACCAAATCATCCTTCCTTCTGACACTTCGTTTCTCTGTGGCGTCTCTATTATACCTATTTCTTTCACGCCTGCCTCACCCTCGAGCGGTTTTCTACCATTCGATCCCATGTCTCGATAGTCGAGGACGTATCAAACCGACTAAGCATGGGTTGCACAAGTTTAAATAAAGAAAACTTTAATTTGGAAGGTCGAACAATTTGGATTTAACAGTTTCAGGAAGTAATTCAAATGATTTTGTTCGAGGTCATATTATTTATGAGTCGAAAATTCAAAAAGAATACATAAGGATAAATTAATTGATAAATCGACTATTCATCTTGCAGAAGATACAGGCAGATATTTTTTCCCCGCAACTTTTGACTCGTTTCTGAATGAAAGGGTGCACGAAAACTTCAACGAGTGACTGCATGCCGTGTAATAATTCACCGCGGTGAATCGCAATATGTATCGACGTGTCACAATAGCAAAAAAGCACGCGAAATTTGAAGAATTAAAGAGGAAAGCTGAAACACATCTCTTCGCTTTCGACGGTAGACAATATTTTCCGCCATGTGAAAGCAGTAATTCCAGATGCAGGTTGCCATCGCTCCTCTCCGTCATCTAGCCACGAAAAATCCATTTCGACGGCAACACGTTGACCTCCGCGTCGCTCACATACACGTGATTGACAGGACTTTTCACTGAAAAACTAAAGAAATTCAGTCATTCTTTTAAATTACTAAAATAAATGCATGTAGGCAACGACGTGACAGAAATAAGTATCGTGTCTACAAACGTCAAGTTACTTATCTTTCAATTTTCCGGAATCAAAATTTTGGTCTCATAGAAATCACGAGTATTGGTTTGACAATCAACACGGTAATAAACCATCGGATTGCGGCCGACGAGGAAACGTCTGTCGACGAATAACGATCATTTCACGTACATTATTCCACTTTTATTCTTTATTCTCTTCTGCTGACGACAGCTTCCATCCAGCCGTCGCTACCTTTACGACCTGCCCCATTTTTATTCTACATCCCTTTCGATTCTACTATATCGGCATGGTTCCGCTGCAAGAATACTTGAAACGCGAATACAATGTCATACAGGGTCTTTCTTTACTTTTTTATAATACAATTTTTAAAAATGTTCACACAAAGGTAAATTAATAAATACCAACGTCACAGAATCTACGACAAACGACTATAGTCACATGTAAAGTTTACTTTCTATTGAGATAAATATTATATTTACATACTATATTTAAACCTAGTTGTAAGATATATTGCATTACATACAAACATACATGTTCCTCACATCGAAGATATTTTATAATATGTTATAGATATACGGATATTATTAAAGACATAGTATTATGGTTCTTTGTAAAAAATGTCCGAAGATTTGTCAGTGCAATATCTATACCAATATAGTTAGTCACTTTAACAAAATAAAAGATACAAGACTATAGTCGGCAGTAGTCTTGAAAGGGTTGAATTCACTGTCTGCGAGGTGATTTACCAGGGCCAATCGACGTCTCTTCGTGGCATAGCCAGTCGTGCGGCGGCAACGATTCGCCTTCGCTCTATTTCTTTCCAATAATCTCGTGGCTGGATATCGTTTTCCCTAACATATCGCCGCGATTCGTGAAATCGACGCGCGTGCACACCTCCCGCGTCTCGAACGAGCTTAGTTAAGAGTTGCCTTCCACGAGCGTATCTTTTATCGAGTCGAAACGATACACAGGATCGACGAGATCACCGGCGAAACGACGAGAGCTGGTTATTCGAATCGTTGAATAATAAGTTCTGTTTGGAGCACGAAGGATTGGCAGCGACACGAGGGTGTACCATGTAGAATAAATTTTTGTTTAAAGCTGCTTATTCGATTGACAGGGGGGAATCTCTAATGATACAAATTGTAATAAAAGAGATAATTTTATTTACTACGTATAGATTCTGATATTTGAGTCGTACATTGCACAAATCGATTAACTTCATAAAACAAAAAGTTGAGAAATGTGATTAAATGGCCTCTGAAATAAATTATTTATTATTCAATGGTCAATAACATTTTGCCGTTTAAAGGTGTTAATCTTTATTATTCAGGACAGTTATTATAAATGTAAAAAGTTACAACTATTCCAAGTGGTTTGACAATGAAATACAAGGTTTTTCAAGAAGGGGAGTTAATTGATTTGTGCAGTAAATGACACATTTATCAAAACCACGCTGAAAATAAGTAGTGAAGACTATAGTCACAGAAAGGAATATAACCCATTATTCAGTCGATTCAAAGAGCGTCCCAACGTACCAGTCTAGGCTCTGTTTGACGAAATAACCACACACAGAGAACTGCAAAGTCTAGCGATGGTATGATAAAAGGAAAGATCGAATTGGAACGGAAATATTTATCCAGGATTGTCACGATGCGCGGATCTGGTTTCGCGTATCAGCGAAACGCGAAAAGAGAACGGGTGTATTATCGTAAGTTATTATCCGGCACGATGCTCTAAAGGCAGTCACGAACGAATGTCGCGTTACGCTGTCACACGCGTCGTAAATTCGGTGCTTATGAATTCGCGAGATATATTCCGACAAGAGAGCACGAAAGGGCGGGTAAAAGAGAGCTCCGGTCACGCGGAGAAGAAGAGAGATAGAGGGTAACGACAGCGGCGCAAGCTCGTAAGCTCTAATCGTTCGGGCCAGAGTATTACTACGCGATTCTCGAGTATGCGCATCCTCTGCGAAAGCAGCGTAATCCCGATTTCATACTGTTGCATGTTTAACCCGCGTGCAGTGTTTAACGATGCCATCGATCGGGATAACATGGTCTGTTAACGAAGAACACCCCACCGTGTCGCGAGGGTAAAATGCAAGCGATGCATGTTTGAGTAGGCCCGGAAAGTTCGATGCTCGATTATCGCTGGTGTCACGGTTTTCGACACTTCGCGGCTTCTGATTCGTAAATAGACCGGGACTTGTTTGCACGGTGACAGTTGATGCGTGACTTTTTCGAATCGTCCAGGGTTTCATGAATGTTTTATACGTCGCTTTTGTCGTTTCAGGGATCGAAAGAAATTGTTCACCAGACTTCTATATTGGTGCCTATGTATCTGAAACTCGAACACGGGAGATACTACGATAACACCTCGATGAAACGGCGGCAATCGGGTCTGTTGGTGTTGGTGTTGTTATATCGAGGAGAGGGTTGCGATTCTGTTTCAGAAATCTAGTGTTCTTGTTTGAATCGGTGACTTGCGATATTTAACAAGTATATTATTAATGGAGTACAAAAATGAATTGGCTCTCTATTATCGTTGACCTAAAACTGTTCTTCAGAATCATTTCTTTTAATTCTTCGCCTAAAACGGCAACTGTTTTTGATGTTATTTTCATCGAATAATGAACTGAATTTAATTTCTAGTATGTTCCATTCTGTTGATAAGTTCAAATTGTTGGAATTAACTTCTGACAGTTAATACAGAAGCCCCTGCCGTCAGCTGGATTTATTTTGCGCTCAGAAGCCACGTATTTGGAAGGAAGTTTCGAAAAGTTTCCGGTACACGTACTGCAGGCACGAAAATGGAATTGTGGATCTCATGTGACGAACTCTCGCAGCTTCGGGGGAGAGAAGCACGTGCATTCTTGTCTCGAACGCGGAGGAAGTCGTTCTCTGTTAGCTCTTTCTGTTCGTTATTCAATCGTTTCGGTATAAATTTAACAATTTCACACTTCCATCTTACCTAGTGCTTTACCAAAGTATTTTTTCCTCCAGAATTATTAGTAATAAATATAATTGTCAGGAAGTAAGAATATATTTAACATTCCTTGAATAAATACCACTAATAACTTTTTAACAATGAAAACATACACGCTATAATTAGGGGTGCTATTCTAAATAGGGGTCAAATCAATTTATAGAATGTCGTTCGATGAATAAAATATAAGAATCGGTTCGTAGATAGAAAATTCAGCACCCCTGTCCGCAAACAAACAGCAATGGAATTACACATCCTCGTCATCGCACCTAGGTCGTACAGAATTAGACCAAGGTGCACAACTTTTTCGTCCAGCGAAAAAAGAAATGCGACGCGGTACCAGTCGCGTGACTCTGTCCGTACTCCGCCACGAAACAGATAACATTTATTAGATACGCCCGGAGTTCTCGCTGCACAGCGTTGCGCACTCCGACGAAATCTCGTTAGTTGGATTAAGCGAGATCCCTCACACCCCTTGGGAAGCCTGGCGAGTGAAAAACGCGAAATTAATGGGAAGATGGACAGGCAAACGTTATGGGGGTCGGTCGGTCAAGCCAGGGTTTTCGTTTGCTAACGATATGTGTAATTTTTGGACACATGTCTCTTCAAAACAAATTACAACACGAAAGTCGTATCTGACGTCACGTTTCATTAATGCTTGGACGAGAAACAGGCAGCATTCTCACTTGGACAGGAAATGTTTAATGAAGAATAAAAGATGGAATACTTCGATCCATCGTTTGTTTGATAAAAATGATATATGAATTGTATGAAATTAGAATTTATGAATTTACCATTCGTAGTTTTATGAATAAATGTCGTTATTTGAAAATTCGAAGAATTAAACATTAGGAATTAAGATTTTAAACATGTTCATTGTAATACAGCATTCTAATATTTATTTCTGATTGTTTCAGGTAAGAAGCTCTTCTAATTACCATTTTACATTCTTCCTTGGGAAATATCCGAGAGTCAACGTTTTCTCCATCGAGTAAGTAAGCACGGAGACACATTTTTTATTCCATCGTGATTTCCAAGCAATAATTTCAAAATACTTGGCAAATTAAACAATTACTTTGGATACTATTCCAACAATTATATACATATAATTCCCGATTTCTATTAATGTGGAATATCGAAATAGGACATTTATATTTTGGTGGAATTAGCGTTAATTATTAAGAAGGAGTAATTATTTACTCCTGACTATTTTGAATTTAGAGAATGCAGTTGATAAAAAAGTCGATTTTTCGTCGAAACAAACACAGAGCTTTGCCTCAGTGCTCGTGACCCGATCTGCGCTTTTTTGAGGCTCGATAGAACTGGGTTTCGGCGCGGATAATCGCCGCGCTAATCTGGCGGTAAGCCAGACGCGATATCCCAGTTGTAACCACACCTCGGCACACGGTATCAAGCCGAACTAATCGAGACTTTGGTGGTTAAGACCGAAATTCCGTCGACCTAATCGGCCTATAATTTTATAGCGGACGTTAGCCCGATTCGTGGACTTGGATGAATCGTTTTTTCCCTTCTGCTCGCGTTGGAATTTATGGATCCACGATGTGGAAAACAGAATTTCAAATATTCTTTTCTGCTATTGGAACATTGTATGACGTCAATGATACTGAAATTGGACACTGAAAATCTTTTCTTTGGAACAAAGAGCCTTTTAAAACGAGTCCAATCACGCTTACACACTTTTTCAATGCTTCCTTCTTTTACGTATCGCGTTTTATATCGTTTCGAAGTTTTCGATATACGCTACTACAATTTATTACCAACGTAGGGGATTAATCCCCGTTTATAAGCGAACTGGTAAATGAATAAATTCATTCTCGCGATCGATGCAAGAGAACGACCCTCGTCCGTCGTTTATTTATCGAAGCAGTATGGCAAACGGCGTTCTGTAAAATTAACGAGAGAAACAACGTGATCCGTTTCTAGGCTACAAATTTTCCCATACCCAGGGATTCTTCTTGCAACGAAAGTTTCCTCCCGCGAATAGACTTTACGACGGTATCGGACGGCGTAATACACAGCGAAAAGAATCCTCTCAGGATTAAGTTTTATAACAATCAAGAGGAAGAAAATTTTAATTCATCCATTTAATCTTTCTTGATCTCCCTATAAAGCAAACTTTATCTATTTGTTTGTGTGTAGGGGTTTACAGTCAATCTCATAAGTATTTGTATCCTCTATGTCCATTAAAGTAATTTGTTTCAATTAAATTATAGGTTAAATGTTTCCAAATAAATGCTTCATTATAAATACGAACATGAGTAAACTTCACACATGTACATGTTTATTTATAATGAATATTTGGAAACATCAAACCTATCATTTAATTTAGCCAAATTTCTTCAGCAGACACAGAGGGTACGAATACTTATGGGATTAACTATACATATATTCTCAAGCGGGCCCCTACACAAGTAATACTATTGTAAGTTATTAATATGCCAAAAAAATACTGTTCACTTTAAATAAATAAATGCTACGCAATACAGCACTTCTAAGCTTAGAATAGGTGTTGTATGTTGTCATATCACCCAAAGGGAGCATAGCTAGTTTCGTGACGTGGTCAGGAAACAATGCACGCAGTTAGAATTTCGACGATATCGATTTTACCCTCTGCCATTTTGGGCCGTCAACCCCCTTGCCTCCCATGCCTCGAAGGATTATTCGCCAATTCGACGGAATTCTAACTTCGTTTTCGCGGCGACTGGCGTATCCGAAGAAAATTGGATTTCCTCGTCGAATTCCTTAATTCGAAGCCGCTGGCCACTTGTATCGCGCAGCGGATTTCGCTGTACGTGTATCGCGCGGTATTTTCGCTACTAGGAATAGAGGGACAGATTTCCCGAAACGTGGTCAGAATTCACATAATCAATTTGTCAATATTCGGAACGTTAACGTTGTTAAATATTATTGAACCCAGTATATCGAGCATATAAAGTAATTCGAAATAAGTCTTAGTAGCTACTGATAAGCTTCTTGTGTTACTTGGATAACTATCCCGATAATTAGTACTATATCGTCTGTGACTTCGCGAATACAGTGCTCGATATTCATAAACTCATCTAATGGCTTTAGCTCTTGGTCCAACAAGATCTTATAAGGGTGTGAACCTTTTCTCAAAATATGCCAAGTTGTCGTTGTTGAAATGCCTAATTGTTGAGAACTGCGAAGAATCAATAAATTACCATCACCCGCAACACTACCTCCTACAGCACCAACATTCTCTCCACTTCTTGAATTTTGCAACGATTCGACGAATAGCAAGCATAGTATTATAGTGGATCATCAATTTCACGAAGAACACGTTGAGTATTTTACAAAACAACGTTGACTTTCATAGCCATTTTGGATAATTACCAAACGTTGTTGAAGCATGTATCTTACCATAATGAATTGTCAGAGAGTGCTGAATACAAATGGCAGCTAGTATCATCATGTATATGACCTTAAACAGAGTTGCCACTTCGTTTTAAATACATATCGGTCCTATTGAAAAATTCTGTATATAAAAATACAGAAAGTTGTACTAAATTGCACAAAAAATCTACGCATAGTTTGATCGAAATTTCCTTCTTAATCATCCATTTTAATCGTGATTTATATTTCACACTGCGATGGACTCCGCTCATTCCACAAGAGAAGGAATGCCAGTCGGTCGCTTGAGGGCGTCTCGAGTTTCCGACAGAATCCGGACTTTCCCATCGAGTTTTTCGATTCAAAGTAAGTCGTCGGAGACGTGGCCAGGGGTGGGGGACGAAAATTCTGTGCTGCACGGGGCGTGTCGAAGTTTTTATTGTGTCACAGACTCCGGCCGCGTTAAAACGCGCGAGCTCCTGCCGCGCTCCAGCAATCTTAACTTTACTCGAGGGTGTCCGTGGCTATCGGACCAAGTTAAAATTCCGCTGTGCTCTTTCCAGAGGATTGTTTAACACGTCGCATCAAGAAGCTCTCCACACCTGACTACTTCTTCACTCGCGTACGTGTCCTACTTTTAATAGAGTCACTAACGTCTCCTGTTTGACGATGCTGAATATTATATTTTACTCTAATATTACACTGAATATTCCTGGGATTTTGAACCTGAAACAGTTAGTTTTAAATATATAGTTTGAAAACTGACATTGTTTTCCTACCAACCTAATTACGTGACTATGACGATGCGCGTCGTATGGCGCGATATCGTCATGCGTCGAACACAGTCCTTTCATCAATCAACAATGCTTTCGAACGCGGAAGCGAGATCCCTCTGATGATATACTGCACACGATTTTGATTATCCTGAGGACTATCGTTAGGAATTTCCGTAGCCAGTTTGCTACGACAGGGTCGAATAACCGCGGAGTACGAATACCAGCGAGAGTTAAGCCGGAATTTTGCTCACGCGGTAGTGCCTGGGACATCTCGAAATTCGATACGCGACAGAACATGCGTAGATTACCTTTTTAAACGAGAGAAGATTACCTTTGAAACCTTACAAACGATTTCCTAAGTTTCTGAACGTCACGTCCCACCGAGTGCTCGTACTATTACTATTTCATGCATGTAGCGTCTTTTAGCTTAGCCTTTTAAAATATCAAAATCACTGTTGTCCAACTGTATATGTCATTATAAGTAGTTTTATTTAATTTCGGTATGTTATAGATAGTATTCTCCCTAGACTTTAACTCACCGTGTCTGTTCTTATTTTACCTAACCCTGTTCGACTGAATCCATGCCTCATAAGGTATTCTTTTCTCTCTTCGCAGTTTCTTGTCTCTATAACTTCCTTCCCCTTTCCTTTAAAACATTCCTTAACTAGTCTTTCGTCTACTGGCATTCCTTGCCTCGCTCCTTATACCCGTCCTAATTCTCCTTTTCTCCCATTTCCTTTCTTCTAACATTGTCTACCTCGACGTTCAAAATTCCAGACATAGACGTCAACTTAAACATTTTGTTCGAATTTAACTCAGCTCTTTCTGTCTACCCGAACATCTGTACTCTTACCAGTCTTTATTTTATATTGCGTCGAATATTTTGTAAATGCGTCGATCAAACGAACTTTTAATTGAAAAATTGCGATTCAGAACGATGCACGACTCAGTTAAGGCCGCGAGGATCCTCCATAAACGCCAGTGGCGCAACTCGAAAGCAATCGACGCGAGGAAAAAGCACCAGCTTTGATGCACGCACAGTGTGTTTGCGTTAAAGGAGCCACGCATCGACGATTACCGACGTTCCACGAAGAACCCTCGGATACGTTAACGGAAGGTATGAAATATCAGAAAATACCCCGATGATTCGCGTAACGTTGCATCCGTGTAACAATGCTTCATACCGCGATGCATCTCCTCCAGGCCTTTGTTTCCAGGAACGATGTTGTTCCGTGGAACGGTGATGTTGAGCATCACTTATGAGCCAATCGGAGCGTTACACGCGTTTCTACTTCGGTCTTCATCATTTCCGGAGTTGGACTTCTGAGTAATTAATTAAGGTACACTTGTGATCGCGTTATTTTAATTGCATACAATCGCGGATCGTTACTACTAGTGGACGAAAGTCTGGGATCTCCTACCTTGGTTACGGACCATGTAATAATATTGAAGACTAGCTGCGTCCCGCGATTTCACTACTATTCTTATTCTATATCACATTCGTGATTATATTATTTACTCACGTAGGTACAATGATTATTGTAGTGTTCATGGAAGCACGTAGTTAGGTACATCGTAACAGCTGAACGCATTTAATTCGGTGTAGGGTAGAGATAGATTTTTAAATGTAAATATTATTGACGAATTCGGTATTACATTATTTTTCACGTATATCCAACCATTTGGTCAGCGTACGCCGATAAAGTAGTCAAGCAACATTTTTCTTCCGACTTGTTTTACAAATTTTGAGATTTCACATTGTAAACGTAGTTTCATAAAAATAAAACATAGCCTATGTAACTAAGGGATAGTGTAGCTTTCTATTACTGAATATTTTTAAAAT